TCTAGAGGATCCCCCGCGGACGCTTCTCGAGGCGATCCCCACCTCAACCCCCTTTTTGACGACGGTCATGAACAACTGATGACACTACTAACCTTCTGTTCTGTGCTGTGAATGTAAGGCAGAGGCCTGTACGGGTTCAATGTCGCGTCTTCCTCGCTTTTCATTTCAACGGACTCAATCAACCAGCTACTACTGCTCAAGCGCTCGCAGGTGATACCGTCACATCTTCTGACAGTCACACCGAGCGCCTTATCCGACACTATCACTTGAAACGAGGCTAAAATTTCTATTTCAGTCAGTCTTCACCCATGCCTGCCGTGTAAAGCGTGTTCCGAGCGTTAAGCCCCTCCCTTTCACCAAAACCACCATGTCTGCCGCGAGGGGTAGCTCAACGGGAAGCCCTAGCATTGAGATTACAGGTAACCTCCCAGGTTTTTGCCCCCAGGTCAAATATCTGACACCCATTGACTAGAAATCCGCGTTTCATCCCAGCACATCCTCAAATCGGTCCAACTTTCGATTGGATCGTTCGAGCGGGAATCATCTTGTCTCCTGAATGCAAAGACCCACAACTTTGAGTTGTCATCCCCCTGGTGAGCCGATGATCATGTGTAGCATTGGACGACAAACCCAGTCAAAGCAGTCAACTTTCGCCTTCAGAGTCCCTCTATCTGCAAGTCCGATTCCGCGGATTGTTTCGTGCTGCGTCGAAGAGCAAGATACCTCTCGATGAACTGCTAAGCAAGGTCGGCCCCCACTTCTCCGGAAAACAAGGTAAGGGCCTCTCTTTTGCAATTGCTCCTGTCTTGCTGATGCAGGACTTTCTACTCTAGAATGGTCAAAATCATTTGACAAGTTCGATGTCGTCCTGAAGTTTAGCCAATACGCAGGCGTGTGTGCACTTCTTCCTCAAACCCAAAAGCGTCCGCCTGGTGCGGGTGCTATCGATCTTAGAATGCTTTAACCATGGCAGAACCTCCGACGAGTGGCCACCTACAACCCACAACGGATGAGTTATTCAAGTTGGTCGAACGGTTAGTCTGCTTAATCCCCGACTACTCTGACTAAACCTTACCGCTAGGTTCCGAGTCCTGGTCATCGGCAAAGTAGCTCTCTTATACCTCTATTCTCAGATATTAGCTTACAGTTTGTTTTTACAGAGTGGTGTAGGGAAATCTTCCCTTATCAACGAATGCTTCGGTGTCAAGGATGCTGTGAGGTCATTTCCCCGTCTTCTCAAGATCCGCTCCTAAAGCTTGTCCTTCCCCAGACCGTGGCTCATTCAGAAGCTGGCGTGTCGGATATCAGTACTGAGATTATATCCAGCGAAAATGGAAGATTTGTTCTGCACGACAGCAAAGCGTGACTTAATCATTCAATTCCCTGTGTACTTTGTTGTCTATGTACACATGCCATAATCCGAACGAAAAGAAGCCAGTGAAATGAACTTGTATAGGACCAAGAGATGGTAATATGGAGGATGTACACGAAAGGCAGTAACGCAGCTCACATTCAATGCGGGCTCCTTCAGCTTGTACAATGCCCTTTCCGGAGTTTCCCTCATGTAGCTCTCGACCAAAAATGTCTCCCTTCTGCACGCGCCAGATGACATAGTTGAAGAGCCCTTAGGGTAGCAGTCCGCTGATTCGTGTTACGACCGAGTGAATAGAACATCGTAGTCGAAAGACGAGTATCGACTGTAGATGAGGTATTTGATGAGTTCATCGACCGCTGTGGGAGATTGTTGCTGGTTCTGTGGGTGTTCGCTGGGTGTTCGTCTGGTGATCGTTTTGGTAGATTTGTGTGACCGCGCCTCTTTCCTCCATGCACCTTCCTCAAAGGTCACAGATTCAGCTATGGCGGAATGCGCAAATGACAGCGACTTCTCGAGGAAAAATAACTCATTGAAAGTCGCAACCCAGGGAGCTACCCAGGTTTGAAGCACGTCGTTGCATCCCTCTGGAAGCGGACTTTCTCTACGGCGGATCTTGAAAGTCGCAGGTTAGATGTCATTCGAATTTACGGTAAGTGAGCTCTTATGCTGTGCACCTGCAAACGAGAATGATTGTGACCTTGCAAGCGGAAAATGCTGTACGTGATCACACAGCGATTGTAGGGCCGATCTGTGCAGGAAGGGTTTATGGAAATGCGACACAGGCATAGACAACGTACCACTTGCGATTCCGACTTCAATCCAATTCAAGTTCTAAATGTGAAGGTTTTGTAGGGGTCCAGACGTTCTACCAACCAGAATATTTTGTAACTGGTGGGGTGGTTGCACCAAAATCGATGTTCCATTTTATGTTTCCCGTTGCCCTAATAGAATAGCCAAGATGAGTATACATGGTTCGTACATCAAACTCGACCCACCCAACCGCACAGAGCAGCTTCTTCCGTTCCGCGCTAAGCAGCACCGCACGTCTACGTAGCTCTGGGCACTGGATTTGAAACTGGCGGTGAGAAACCCAAAGTGGGTCACTGACCAGTCCGTCACGGTCTTGAACAGTGAGGAACGCTTTTCTGGCAGCCTGAAAGGTAACTGATCGATAAATCAGATATGAAGACCTCCCGTCGATGAGGGCTTACCATCTCAGCACGTTGAACTGTCCCGACCATTGAGTGTCGTGACCGTCGTCGTAGTCTTGAGTCTGTTATTCTGGTAAACACACAGGGTGAGAGCGGATATAACAGACCCACCTCGACTTGAAACGTCGATGTCCTGCTTGTAATCTATGACAGCGTTGAGATGCACGAGTTTGCCCCCTCTTATTTGACACGTCATTTTGGTGAAACACTTCAAAAAGGCGTAGGCCCTTACATACGACGGTTCCGCAATCTGAGCCGATCATAGGCGTCGAGTTGTACATCCCTTCAGTGGTGAACATTTATCGCGACTGACTATCAGAGAGTTTGAGAGTTGAAGTGTTCTCTCTCGAGAATGATCAGCTTCCTACGAGGTGAAAAGCTCGAGAAGAAACCTACTATTCCCAATGTGTCTTGTAATACAGGAAAGGGTGCTCGGTTTTGAACCTGGGCCCCCACAAACATTGCCACTCTGGAGAAGGTGACGCCGAAGAGTGCATTGCTGGCGGCCTCGATGTCCGCGAGACGCACAACTTCACTTTTTGATTCATAATTAGATTAAGAAGTTCATGTAAAACCGTAAGACCTTACATGGCACCAGTTTCACACTTGCCATATGAACCGAGGGCCAACTTTTGTGAGGGAAGGATAATGTCCCGCCCAGTAGTCAAGAAATCAGATGGTGGTGAACGCCACGATGTCCTGACGGCAAGAACAGTCAGCTTCAGAGAAGACGCGAAGCGCAAGAAACAACTCACCCCGAAGGGCGCAACACACACACTTGAGGCCACCCTACTCTGCACCGACGTCACTGTCTACAAAGCCGCAGGCTCATAAAGGTCCTTTATCTCTTTGAACCCATACTCCTTCCCAAAAATCTCACGGGGCCAGAAATACAGTTGCTGATCGACATCTTCACAGAAGTCATGGAGGCCCATGGAGTTTGAGAGTAGGAGCTGGGGCCTTCCTCATCGAGGCTGAGAAGATGCGAAAGAGGCCTTCACCCACGAGGCCTGGGAAGTAGTGCCAATACAGGTCGTTTTCAGAGATGGTGGAGAGGTAGATGGAGCTGGTGGTGGCTGCTTTGTGGGCAGTCTGCGATGCTACTTTCCCTTGTTCAGAATCCGAAGTGGGGGGGGCGGTCGAAGACGAATTGGACAAGGCCGGTTTGAAGGCGAATTCACCGTAGCAAGAGCGAATGGCACCGTCGAAGAGGAAGTCGACGTCGAAGAGTCCAAAGGGGGAACAACGCCCATACCATGCACGATACACTCCTGCAACGGTTCAACGGACGAACATGGTCCGCATCAACATTCCTCCCTCTCCTTCGTATCTGCCATCCGAGATTGGGCTTGAGAAGCACAATGAAACGATGATACCCAATTCCGAGTGATTATATGCGTATTGCGTGGAGTAGAGGTTGTATCCCAAGTCCAACTTTGTGAATCTCAACTTCCTTTCACGTCAATCAGGTCCACGGAAACCTCCTCACCGGAAGCCTGGAATCAAGCACAACATCCTCAGTAGCGTGCTGTACCCACTCAGCATCGAACATGTCGATTCTAACAGTGGAGGAAGGACTTCGCGCAACGATCACGCGGAAATGACGAGGCAGAGTTTATGTTGTCCGGGGCGTAGAGGGAAGTTTGGATGAGGGTCTGGGTGAAGGGTCGATAAAATTTGAAGTGGAAAAGAGGCAGTTGAGGCGGAGGACGCGGGAATCGAAGTGGAACGGGGGATTGAGGTGGAAGGAAAACTTTGGATGATTGGAAGGGCCGGGACGGGAGTCCCTCAGCCATGTGTCTTCTTGCATTCTCCATTTTCTGTCCCTGGTCGTCACTCCGCGTTATTTGGCCCAAGATAGGCTACGTCCTCGTGCGGCTTTGGCTGGTAGAATCGAGGTCGCGTCCTCTCTCATTCTACAGCAGCATCACTGCGTGCAGACAACTTTCTCGAACAGCGGCATGGTGCCAAAGCAGAGGCAGTTGAAACCTCACTGAATTCTCGACAAGGGTGCTTTGATTTGATTCTCATATTATGACTGGCACTAGGTCGGCCATGTAAACTCGAATGGCGGGATTAGGATCCGGAGGGGCGAGGAAGTGTGGGGAAGGGTCGAATCCATACGATTATGGTGGGTTTCTGTGGGGGGTTTCGCATAGTGCTTCAACGAGTTCTGGTTTACACCGATGTATTGGTTGTGTATTTCCAGAGTGGTGGCCTGTGAATAGGCCCTTAGCATCATCATGCACTTCTGAGGGTAGCAATTTGACATCAGAAAGAAATCCAAAATTCGAGAGACGTACCTTTTTCGCAAAGCTTTCTGTTTGTGGTGCAACTCAAGGCCATGTTTGGGCCATGTTGGACGAGAAGTGGATACAAGGATGATGAGGAGGACTTGAGGAGGATGAGTGGCGTATTGATGTTTGCGTTGATTGAGTTGTTTAAAAGGTTCACCTGTTCACTACCACCATAGGCCCAAACGTTGCCTTCTTCACCGCGAACGTGGATTTCAGTAAGACAGTATTGCGCGTGTTCGCCGATCCAGGATTCATAGGAGAGAACGGTATTTTGTATTTACGTCATTCTCCTTCCTTTCATGATGGCTATGCCAAGTCAAGAGCTGGCAATGTTTCGCCTTATTCATTCCATCCCAGTACGCTCTTTAACAAAATTATCTCAATAAGTGGCGCTTAACGTTAACCTTAGCTTCAACAGTCTAGGTTCAATCTCAATGAATGGGTGGTAGTCGACGAGCCAGAACTGCCGGTACTCTCCTGAGTCCTCTAGGCTCCCGGTGTAGACAACTTGCAGTTTGGGGGTACGAGGTATCCACTGGCAGGGATGACGGCTGCTGAAATCCTGGACGTTCGAAAAGAAGTCCTGGCGCTCGATTTTCCCAGGTTAGAGCGTATTTGGAGTACGTGGTCCAGGCGAAGCAAGACGAGGAGGGGAGGACTTGGCATCTTTATCCTGATGAAGAATTCCGCCCCGGCTTGGATGGGAACAGGCAAGGTAGCCAACATAGGGTGCGTGTATTGATTTATATGTTGCTACCTACTGATCATATGGGATGTCTAGGAATGATTCAATGTTGCTCTGTTAAAACGCACGATGCATTTTGTACGTCTGCGAGTATGGGTTAGAAACATGTCAACCAAAGATTCCTGGCGTTTCGCTGGACAAAGTATTGATAGAATGACTCCAGAGGAAATCGATACTGTTGCTCCCACTTGCAATCTATCAAGC